ACCTTATATAAAAAGTCTTAAGCTGCCCTGCCTACCCAGTACCCACTCAAACGTTACAACCAAACGAAAATCAAACGTATTTATTCAGAAACCACTATACCTATAGCGATTAACATAATATAATGTGTGCTGTGATGGCCATATATATTAAACTGAACGCATAAGAACAATTTTGATCAGTTTTAAAGTTTTTGTACAAGGTTCATCGAAAAGTACCAATAAACGTTTTTGAAAATTTATTTTTTTTAGACAATTTCTGATCATAATTAAATACAACGTCCATGTACAAGGTTAAGACTTTGATCAATACCGGTTCAATGTAATATGGTATCGAAGGGCAAGTCACCTCTGATTTTATTATTACCGATAAGGCGTCTGTATACAGAACTCATAAGACTGCAAATTATTTAGTTATAATTTTATGAAATTTTATAAAGCTAAAAAGTAGGATGATCAAAGTACTTTCAACGGTTTTTTATCGGGTACTCGCTCGCAGAGTTCTTTTATTATCAGTATTACTACAATACCTATTTGTACGTGTAAAAGCAATATAATCTGACCAGAGCCCGATTTACCTTAGTAAATATTTTAATCCCAGTTTTTTATTTTTATATTAAAATTACATAACATTTCACAATGTTTTTTTTTTATGTTTTTTGAGATTATTTCGATGATCATTGGTAAATAGTATTTTAAATTTGATTTTATGTTATTTGATACCAAATGTATCATAATATTTCAGTTTGATACAAATTTAAACCTCACCTTATGTATTTATAATATACTAGATTTTCGGAAAAGCGCATTGCCAAAATGTATTTTTTGAAAAGAATATATTTAATCATTGTTAAAATATATATGCCACAATGTCTCTGATTAGAATCGATAGTACGATAAAAATGTCATAAATTAATTACAAGACGTATTTTCTAACTCTCAACCACCCCCCCCCCCGCCAAAAAAATAAAAAAAATAAAAGTTTTTAATAATATACGACACATTAAAACCAATACACACTGCAATTTTCAAAAACTAATTCGTTTCGAAAGTGACTAAACCACATTAGAGTGAACCAGTGCTGGGTGTGTTAGATACATGATGTTACTAAAACAATAGGTATTTACCTACTTATGTTTCAAAGCAATTATTACTAGTGTATTCTTTGAGTGATTATTATTTATATAATACCTATAATAATATAACGAAAAGTTATAAAATTAAAACTATATTTTTAAATAGACTGTAAATAATTTTTTATGCATTTTTTGTAATTATAAAACTTATATATATGGGTCATCTAAATTTTACATCCCGATTATTTTTTTTAACCTTATCCAAAATCCTTAAAAACCTTAATAAACTAATATTCCATAACTTAAGTCCTAAAATAAAGAGAACAATAACAAACGAGTAACTTTAGTAGGTACTCTACTAAGGTCTAAAATTATATCCGGTCATATTGTATATTATATTATATCCGGTCATATTGTATATATCATATATGTCATATTGTATATATTATATATGTCATATTTACCACATACATGTATGTCATAAAATATCGTTTTAAACAAAAAGCATAACACTATCTCACCGTTTAGAAATTAAAATTATAAAATGATGCATACTCATGAATAATACATCAGGGAGTCGTTACTATATAGAATTATGAGCACAGTGTATCAAGCACTAATTACGGTCATGGTCCCAATCAGATAAGATTTCTATGGACTGGGATATTTCTTTGAAAACGTGAATTATACGATGACTTTAATGCATACAGCATAACTATAGTGATATAAATTTATAATATAGTCGATGATCTCTAGTGCAACGGTTTATAAGATTTTTATATCCACGTATAACCTATTCAGTTAAAAAAAATTGAAAATTTGTACCAAACTTGACCAATTAAAATTTTTTTTTTTGCTTATCAAAAATGAATACGTTATTTTACATGTATAATATATAATAATATATAATTATAATATATAATTTTACTATGATAATATAAGCATTTAATGCATAAAAAAAAAGATTAAATATGTACAATTGTTATTTATATTATTATTTATATCAAACAAACTAAATAATATTTATTGTGAATGATGACCCATTGCATTTTTATAATAAAGGCAGGTTTTCACCTACGAGCTTTTCGTGTATCAGAGTTTGAAAAACCTTACTCTAGTGAAATCGGGGTACACGACGTGATATTACATGATTCAGCAGTAGGCACCCAAAAATATTATATACCTACTAAAATAAATTGAAACGTCTAAAACGAGAGATGATTTTCGTGCACACGCACATACCAGGTAGAGGAACGCCCTGTGTAGGTTAGCCGCGATATAAGACATAGGCACATAGCCCTCGGGATTGGAACTTTAAAAAGTGATAGTCCAGGTAGATCAAGACCATAAAGGTCAACAGATCAACCAACCGGAATAAGGCTGACTCAGACATGGTGGTCAGCCCCGGTGCAGGGCAAACCAACCTGAGCAATTGTTATTATGAGTTCAGCAAGAGAGTACAATGTTACCACACCATCCAGGCAGGGGCGGACTGGGACGGGTCCGGCACACTATTCCAAGTTTATTAGCGGCCCTAGGTGTTTTAGGGCAATTTTTTTTACTCTAATTGCACTTATGTTTTATGAACTTATACACGATGTATAACAGAAACACTCGACAAATTGAATAGGTAACTTTTGTTCTAATCATTTAAATATTTATTTTAAATAATTTATAGACTTTTGTAAGTATAGTATAATATTTATAACACCAATAAAAAGGTGGGCAAGTGGATGTCACTGTAATGAATGGTATTAAATTTGAACTTAATGATATAATATCATTGTATACGGAAAAGACGGTTAATATACAGTATTTGATGATACTATTGTGAATAAAGTACTTAGGTAATTAATTTCAGTATTAGGAATTATAGTATTTACTATAGTAGGTTAAATTCATTGTTAAAGAAAAAATTACATTTGAAAATGTTATTGCGTGTTTATAAAATATAACAATAATATACTCTAAAAAGTCTAAAAGTTTCATACACACAAAAAATATTTTTAAATTGCACAAAATAACTAAAATCATTATTCTTGGTTTTAATATGTCATTTCGTCCAAATTTGAATTAAAAATGTCAGTAAAAAATAAATGTTTCTTATAACTATATTCTTCAACTATATTTTATAGATTTTTTGGTTACAGTATGAACTATTTATGAGAATCTTTGTTTTACATTTTCAATCCATAGTTATAAAAAATTAAAAACTGTACATTTTATAATTTTTTAAAAATACAATTATTGATAATTTTCGAGATTTTGATAAATTCGAACTTTATATACTTATATAAAAAATTGTGCCTATATTTTTATTTTTTATATTTTTAAAGTGCTATTGTAACAATATATCAGGAGCCTTTTATTAAATTTTCAAATTGTTTAGCCCACAAAATACAATTTTATTGATATTTATAAAAAAAAAACTAAACAAATTGTCCGTAAACAGCTCAAAATGAGTCAAAATATTTTCAAAATTATTATGGTGTATAGAAAATGAGAATACAAATATTCAGTGAAATTTTCATGAATTCACAGTTATTCATTTTTGAATTACAAAAAAATAAGGAAATCGCTACATATATATACTTGTATAGTAGTTGTATCGAGTTGATATCCAATGTTGTAAAAATTTGAACTTCAAACGCTCATAAAAATTTAATTTTACACTCTGGTAGATAATCTTTTTGACAAAAGTAGACAAAATTATGATGAATCTTGTATAACATTTTCAAATCTGAGTTTTAAAAATAAAAACTTTTATGAATTTCTAGCTAAAAATAATTTGTGAATTTTTGCGTATTTTTTTCAATATTTGAACTTTAAATGCATAAAAAATAAGAATTGTGACGATGGATTTTTAATATTTTTCATCTTCCTTTGAAAAAATATATTAGGAGCCTTCAATTAAATGTTCAAGAGTTTTTACCCAACAAATAGAATTTTATTGATATTTATAGAAAAAAAAATAAAATCGAAACTGAAAATGTCCGAAAACAGCTCAAAATAAAAGTTGAAAATGTTATAGTTCATAGAAAATTCTAATATAAACATTCAGTAAAAATTTGATGTATTTACGGTCATTTGTTTTAGAATTATAAAAAAAACTAAAGTTGATTTTGTCAAAAACCTATTAGGCGTAAAAATGCCTGTTTTTTCTTAATTTTCTTTTGAAAACTATTGGAAATTTTAAATTTTGACCTCCCGAATGCACTTATTTAATTCACCTTTAACAAGACACTGTTGAAGAAAATAGAAGCAGTTTACTACCCCAAACAGTGACGGCAGACACAACAATTTAAAAATTTTAAATTAAAAAAAACACACATGATTGGAAAATCGATACATTCATCACTCCGCTCGGAATCTAAAATTGTATATAATAAGTACCTACCTAATTTTTTTTTTGAAAAATTTAAAATAAGTACCTAATTTGTAAATCTAATTTTTAAACACATTTTGATAAAACCGTGCGGTATACGAATTTCAATCAATTTACAAAATAAATATCCTATATAAACCGAAATTTGGCTTGGTGCTAATTTTTCGGAGCTAAAGCCTAATTATTCGTCTAATTTTACAGGAATAAAATAGTCAAATTGGCCATAGTCTTTTAATTCGAACTGAATTTATTGATACCTACTTTATAAATGCGTATACACGCCACACGGCATAAAATCCCTGACAGGACAATAACGTTTTACGTTTCCAGAAATAAAATATTTTTAATTGTATTGATATCCATATTATTCAATTATAATTTATATCTATATATATTATGTTTTTGGTATATTTTATATGGTAGTGTGCTAGTGTCTATATTGTGTAGTTTGTGATGGGCAATTGCAACCCAATCGTCCAATATATTACTATAAAATAACAAAAAAAAACAAAAAAAAATACAAAAATTATAGATATACATATATGCTAGAAATAGTAGCGGCCCAACACTTACAATCTGGTACCGGCCCACTGTGCTATAGAATAGTGTCACACCGGGCCAGTCCGCTACTGCATCCAGGTGCCAGTGGATGGAGTATATATACAATGCTCGCCACGGCTGTCGTCATCGCCCACAAGCACTTAAAGTGTAGATGTTCGGAACGTGTTTGCCAAACAAGGGTAAATGGTAATCATACTGCTGGTGGAAATGGCCAGCAGGTTTCCATCGATGAGAGAAAATCCGTTGATATGTCTGCAACGGTTATAATGTAAAACTACGAACTGTGTGAAGCAAACTACGTTCATTACCATCTGAATGCAGTCTACAAAAACTGTTGTTTCTAAGTGATGTTTATGATGTTTATGTTTATGTTTATGATGTTTCAATGCAAGCAAATGAGTAGGTAGAATATAGAATGTTAAATTGTAAAATTGCTCATAATATATTAATATAGCTTGCTTTATAGTTGAAATATCGTAACAATTCAACATACAAACACATATACTGTTGTTAATAGTTTAAGTATGATAATTGGTCATACTACTATTAAAGTTAACAACACAGATAGTCTATTCAAATAATAAAAAAAAAATACATTTTAAAAAAGGTGCCTGCTGTGATTCTGCCGTTGGCACAATGGATGCGGCGGGAAAACTCAAGAATGACGATATTTTCTACAGTGAAGCCTGCAATATCTTGTTGACATAAAGTTGACACCCTTGACTGAAAAAAAAAAAAATAACAGGTTTAATATAGTTGGGCAAATAACTATTGCGGTATACGATAAATGATGATTATCCTTACATCCGACATACTAATTAGGTCTGCTAGTACCTATATCGTATTCACTTTCAGCAGTGAAGTCACGATGGCCGAACAATTCGTATAACAGCGCAAAAAGGGCTTGAAAATAATTTCAAAATTTAAATTTCGTAAAGTAAATCGGCCTCTAAGTTCAGGTGAGTTTAAGAGGCGATGTACAGTCAAAATTTGCGCAGCATTTTTAAAAACGCTTATAATAATATGACTTAAATGAACCAAGTATAAGATAGAAGATATAATAAGAATTGTTATTATTTGTCTTAATATTGTAGGTACTTTTTAAAATTATATATATTTTTTGATTTTTAATTTATTTTATTAACTATTCATATTATAATATGGCTGTAATGAACCAATAGTATAAATAAGAAATTGTAATTTTGTTTACTTTTGCAAAAATATAGCTCTTCATTTTTGAAATTTTACCCGGGCGCAGTTTACATGTGTGATTTTGTGTTTACCTGTACCTTGGGCGCAGCTTACAATCGCCGATTTAGTTATAACTCAGGCGGATGTATTGTGAATTGCAAAGTGTAATAAAATTACATAATTCGGTGATCACATATTTTTTTTAAATACCTATAATACATACAAAGTGATACACAATATAACTGAAAATATTATCGTTTTATGATGTATAGTTATAGTATTGCTAAACATGAGACGAATCAAAATATCAAATCAATCAACAAACAATGACATTTTATTATTTTTAAATTAGTGATTAATTACCGGAGGGGTAATTATTAAGTCGAAAAATGAATACATTGGTTAGTTGACAGCAGTGGCGTAAACTGGGTGGTGCAAATGCAGCACTTGCACCACCACATCTAAAATGTGGTGGTGCAAAGGTATGTTTTTGCACCACCAGAAAATCATTGAAATATATAATATATAAAGAGGTACAAAATAGTTATTTTAGTGCATGTATTAGACATTATCATTTAAATTATTACCCTATCTATATTCTAAAAAATCGTACAACCCCCATAAATAGTTAGATTATTATCTATAGTAACCACTATCCACAAAATTTTGTATTTTATTATGACAGTATCACAGAATCCCGATTAAAGATATTATATCTTTAATCGTGCACAGAATAGACGTATAATATGGTAAAATTATATTGCTATCAACATTCTACCGTCAAAATAGTGTTTTATCACTGGATCAATGTTCATTCAATTCTCAAAAGTCAAATGTCAAATTTTAAAATTCTCTACAGGTTTCATAAGCGCCAGGAAAAACAACATAAAAATTAAGGAAAAACAGGAATTTACCCGAAATCGGTTTTCGACAAAATCGATTTTGGTTTTTGACCAAACAAATGAACATATACATAATATATAATTTAAATATTCACTGGTTGGGTAAAAAAGCTTTTAAATTTAATACAAGGCTCCAACTATATTGTTACAATGACATTAGAAAATTATTAAAAATTCTTAGTCACAGTTTTTTTTATAAGCATTTAAAGTTCAAATCTTGACAAAATACAGAAAAATCACGAAAATTAACAATATAATTTGAGTTGAAAAAATCATAAAAATGTTTCTTTTCAAATCTAAGATTTTAAAATGTAATACAAGATTATTCATAAGTTTGTATATGCCTTTATCAAAAAAAAAATGTCCACAAGTAAATCAAATTAAATTTTTATGAGCATTTGAAAATTATATTTTTACAAGATTGACTAGATTTACTAGATTTCTCATGTAGCGATTTTGTTAATTTGTTGTTATTCAAACAAATAACTGTAAATACATGAACATTTATATATTTATATTTTAATTTTCTATACACCACAAAGTTTTGAAAATATTTTAACTCTCTTTGAGCGGTTTCCGGACATTGTCATTTTTTAATTTTTTTAATTTTTTTTTTTCTATAAATATCAATAAAATTTTATTTGTTGGGTAAAAAGCGTGAAAATTTAATGGAAGGCTCCGGATATATTGTTACAATAGCGTTGAAAAATATTAAAAATACATAGCCACAATTTTTTTTTTATAAGCATTTGAAGTTCAAATGTTGACAAAATGTATGGCTAAATATTTAGTTTTTTTTTGTTAGGAAGCATTTTACTTAGAAAGTTGGATTATTTTTGTGTTGGAAATTATAGGTTAAGAATATGCCTCTGCACCACCAGAAATTGGACCCAATTTACGCCACTGGTTGACAGGCAAATCCAACAAAAACCCGCTAATTGGCTATACTGATGAAATTTTAATTTGTAGAAATGAGTGACAAAACTTTTAGTTGTTACCCTCTATTCCAGGTGAAAATCCATTAAAATTTCAGGAGGGGGCTAACATTATTGACATCAATTGGAGTTGGGGTTGGGGGGCTCCAATCCCACACAACTAAAGAGGAGGGGTTTGAAGGAATTCTTTTTTTTTTTTGAGGGGGGGCTTGTAAGCCCTCGTAAGCCATCACCCAGATCTCCGCCTATTCCCTATTCCCTTTTCTCAGTAAGGCTCATTATTTCTCTACAAGGGAAAAATCAATTAAATACAATAAATAATACCTCCCTTTAGTTGAAATTGTATTGCCCTTAGTGCATAGGCGCAACTAGGGATATGCTGAGGGGACTTGTGCCCCCCTCAGTTTAAATAAGTACCCCCAAAAAATAAAAGACTTTTTCCATTATATTATGATTATTATTTGAGTAAAAATTATCAATAAATACAATAATATTACCTATATAATATTGTATATTGAGGAATAAAATATGTAGGTACTTATAACATAATATTATGAAATAAATAATAATCTTTAGTTTATTTATTGTGTTGTAGAATAGAACGACCAGTCCACAGATACGTATAGTTATTACTTATATGAGTCATAATATTAAATTATTATATTATCGGTTGACGAAATAACTTTGAACACAGGATAACGACATTTTGTCTTTATCTTTGGCAGGATGAAAGACTGCCTATGAATATGAGGGCGTTGATATTGTATAATAGCTTATAATTTGTTATTGAATTATTGAAGTGTATTTATTATTGAATATAGGTACCATGATAATAAGAATCATTTATCACAAAATATTTGTTTTTTAATTTTTTTACATACCTACGCGTCTTAATAATGTATAGAAAAAAATAATTTTTAAATATTATTTTGTCATAAAGGGAATTGTGCAAACATTTCTCCAGTCCCTGAGGTTTCGTAAATTTGACCACCTGTGGTCTGTATAGCTCCAAAAATATATTTCTTTAGTCTCTACCGCTGTCTTATATTATACAGGTTTTTTTATCTTATTAGTATTCGTGTTATCTATATTACTTCGATGTACTCGATGTACCTACCTATAGGATAACTGTAGCGTCGTATAAATTCCACACCACCTAGCTAGTTAAACGACATTATATCACATCATCCGATATCCATGTTGTTTAAAAGCATGAGGTATTACACGTGGCGCGTTTTTTTTATTGTGGTGTCCCCTGTAGGCCTAATCCACATCGCAAGCGAGAATACGCGAACGCCGGTCGACTACTATAATATTGTAATTTACATAGATCGGTACAGCAAAAACCGCACTAATCTTGTATAACATTTTTCGTTATTTATACATCGATAAAACATATTTTAATATAAATAAACAAATATCGAATTTAACGTTGAATAGCTTTTATTGTTTTAATTTTGTCGCAAAGCGGCATTCGCATATTTTCGGCTTACTATAGCGTTGAATTTTAGTATCTGGAAATGTGAGCTAGGCTGCTGGCACCGAGGGATTTATATTTGTCACATACTCAAATAGGTATATTATAAGTCCAAGAGGAGTAAAAATACTGTAGTTTTAAATTATTAGGATGATATTTCCCGATTCTTATTTAAAATTCAACACTGTCCTAATATTATAACTATATGACTATATAATATATTATGATTACTATTATTATTATATTCATTATATTTTGATTAGGTATATATTATATTATAATTTATTTATTATTATTATAGATTACCAAAGTATTACCTGTTTCTAAGTCTCCTACCACTCACTATTTCTATTGGGCCTTTTTATTCAACCTGTTTTAAATGTCGTGATATAATATAATATCATTTTATAAAAATGTATTCATAAAAATGTTATTACAGTCCTGGAACAAAGTGTTTATTTTGAGTGTGTGACTCCGGCCGGCGATAGTGGGTGATGTGTTTGGTGTGCAGACAAAATGGTGAGAGGACGACAATATTAAATAAATACATTTTACAAAATACTTAATACGTAAAATCATCTTACTTGGTTTAGACATCTAGTATCTATAGTTTTGCTTACTTATGCGCCGACCAAAACTTATATCAAAATAATTCCTTATCGTCACTTGGACTTAATAACTTTTCTATAAAGCTTGACGGACGTTGAAACATTGTAGGTCCATAAAAATATTTCAGATCTGTGGCCTGAGAGATATATTCCTTCGTT